TTAAATGTGTTAATTATACCTCAATAAAGCTATAAAAAATTTTAAGTAGCCACACATATAAAGAGTAGCTACAGAATTAGACTGTGGAGCAGTATTCTGTAAGTTCCTTAAGGGTTAGAATTGTATTTAAATATCTTCTTTATGGAGCAGGTACAGAGTAAACATTTGACCAGTATTTGTTTAATAGAGGAAATGCAAGATACAACTAACAGGGTAGAACATGGATATATCACTTACCTTCTAAGGATCTAAGTTTCCTAATATGAAAAAATATATTATCTGAAGGTCCTTTTAGCTCTAAAATTCTGTAATTTGAAACACAGAGAAAATCTTCTTCATTATTTAATTGCAGATTTACATTTATTTGGAAAAGCACTCTGTTGAAGTTACAGTGTTTAAGAAATTAGCATAATTAGTTTAAAAAACTTTGAAAACTGTATGTTACTAAAAATGAAATCCTTTCTTTAGCATCTTTGCCATAATACTGACCATCTTTCAGAATAAAATTCAAAAATTTTCCATTGGTTCTGTTGATATGGTCCTCTCGTTTATCCCTCATCTCCTCAGTGTCTCTACTAACAAGTCTGTGCTTCCTTGATCACTTTGTATAAAACAACCACCCCTACTTGCCTGCATTTTATTTCCTTATCCTGCTTTGTTTTGCTCCAAAACTCATCACTGTCTGACATACTATTTCAATATCTTCTCTTACCTCACTAGAAGATAAGTTCCAGGAGGGCAAGGACTTTGTCCATTTTGTATACTGTTGTAAGTTTTAGAATAGTGCCTGGCACATAGTATGTGTTCAGTAAATATTTCTTGAACGAGTTGATCAATTGTACTTTAATATCCCTTACATGTTTCCCCCTGCTTGCACAGATTTTCGTATCTTAAATCTCCGCTCTATAAAAGAGGTGAGCTCCAAATATTGGTAATTTGAGAGATTTCTAAAGGTCTACCTGTTTAAAAACAAACTTTTTTCCAAGCTTCTATCTCTGGGTGAGGTTTTTATATCTAGATCACTTCCATGAATAACAAAACAAAATAAAAACAATCTGCCGAATGCCTGACACTTTGCAGCATCTTCTCATTTAATCTTCCCAACAATTCAAAGTGAGGTAATATACTCACTTTAGTGATAAGGGATCTAAGGCTTAGGGAAATTATATAAAGCATCAGAAGTCACATAAAATTAGATTCAAACCTGTATTTGCCTTATTCTAGAGCTTGAGTTTTTAAGCATTATGCTCTTTCCCAGTTTCAAAGGTATTATTTGTAAAGATAATCGTTAGTTTAATACGAGCACAGATCGGTTTAGCATATGAGGATAGAGCATAGTAACATTTTGAGGGAAACGGACTTTGGAGTTTTCTTTGAAGAAAGTAGAGAGTGTGGGAAAGATTTTTGGGACACTTCTAGAGAGGTTTGTGAGTGGAGTCTGCGAGGGGAATAATGACTAGTGCAGGGAAAGAATGAAACATTGAAACATTGGGAAGGTTGGCATTGCCCAAAGGGGATACAAGGAGAGGAAAATAAAAACTGAGTTTTGTGATCTGGAGCATTGGCTGGCACATAATAGCCAGTAAACAAACTCATTTGGACTTTTTTTTTTTTTTTTTTTTGCTGTACGCGGGCCTCTCACTGTTGTGGCCTCTCCCGTTGCGTAGCACAGGCTCCGGACGCGCAGGCTCAGCGGCCATGGCTCACGGGCCCAGCCGCTCCGCGGCATGTGGGATCTTCCCAGAACGGGGCACGAACCCGTGTCCCCTGCATCGGCAGGCGGACTCTCAACCACTGCGCCACCCGGGAAGCCCCTCTCACTTGGACTTTATAATTGATTAGTCAGTAAATGAAAATTATTCCTTATGCTTTAAGTTACATTTTCAAAATAGTGATATGAACCTTATGCATCATGCATAGGGTATTTTTGAAGGCGCGAGAGAATGGGAGAGGAAAAGAAGGAGAGAGGAGAGGAGGAGAGGGTGTGCATGTTTATTAGATTTTTAAAAAGAAATTTATTTATTTATGGTTGCGTTGGGTCTTTGTTGCTGCACGCGGGCTTTCTCTAGTTGTGGCGAGCAGGGGCTACCCTTCATTGCGGTGCGTGGGCTTCTCATTGCGGTGGCTTCTCTTGTTGGGAGCATGGGCTCTAGGCATGTGGGCTTCAGTAGTTGTGGCACTCGGCTTTCCGTAGTTGTGGCTCACGGGCTCTAGAGTGCAGGCTCAGTAGTTGTGGCTCATGGGCTTAGCTGCTCTGCAGCACGTGGGGTCTTCCTGGACCAGGGATTGAACCCGTGTCCCCTGCATTGGCTGGTGGATTCTTAACCACTGCTCCATGAGGGAAGTCCCTATTAGATTTTATATACTTTGTATATAAAGAAAGATTTTATATGTTTTATATAAGAAATTATTAAAAGTAGTATTTGTTTTATAGTAATTGATACCCATCCTTTTTTTAAAAACTCAATTTATTTAAACTAAAAAAACATGCAGCTCCCCCATTTCTCCTATCCATCACTCCCCTGCTGCCTGCAACCACTACTCTGTTCTCTGTATCTGTGAGTTTGGTTTCTTTTTCTCCTTCTTCCTTCTTTCTTCCTTATCCCTTCTCTCTTCTTCCTCCTTCTTCACATTCCACATATCAGAGTGATTGTATGGTATTTGTCTTTCTCTGACTGAATAAAATAAGTCAGTTTAGTACCCTCGAGGTTCATCCATGTTGTTGCAAATGGCAAGATTTCACTCCTTTTATGGCTGAATAATATTCTCTCTCTCTCTCTCTCTCTCTGTGTGTGTGTGTGTGTGTGTGTGTGTGTGTGTGCACCACAATTTATTTATTCATTCATCCATTGGTGGACACTTAGGTTGTTTCCATATCTTGGCTACTGTAAATAATGCTTCATGTATCTTTTTGAGTTAGTGTTTTCATTGAATTCTTCGGATAAATACTCAGAAGTGGAATTGCTGGATCATATGGTAGTTCTATTTTTACTTTTTTTGAGGAGCCTCCATACTGTTTTCCATAGTGGCTGCACCAAGTTACATTCCCGCCAACAGTGCACAAGGGTTCCCTTTTCTCCATATCCTCACCAACACTTGTTATTTCTAGTCTCTTTGATAATAGCCATTCTAACAAGTGTGAGGTGATATTATATTGTGGTTTTAATTTGCATTTCTCTGATTCTGAGCATCTTTTCATGAACCTGTTGGCCATCATATGTCTTCTTTGGAAGAATTTAGATCTGCCCATTTTAAAATCAGAATGTTTGTTCTTTTGCTGTTGAGTTGTATGAGTTCTTTATATATTTTGGATATTAACCCCTTATCCGATATGTCATTTGTAATTATTTTCTCCCATTCAGTAGGTTGCCTTTTCATCTTGTTGATTGTTTCCTTTGCTGTGTAGAGCTTTTTAATTTGATATCGCACTTTATTTTTGCTTTTGTTCCTTTTGTTTTTGGTGTAAGATTTTAAAAAATCACCATGACCCATGCTTACCAACTGTGTTTTCTTCTAGGAGTTTTATGGTTTCAGGCCTTACATTCAAGTCTTTAATCCATTTTGAGTTACTTTTTGTGTGTGCTGTAAGACAGTGGTCCAATTTCCTTCTTCTGCATGTGGCCATCCTATTTTCCCAGTACCATTTTTTGAAGAGACTGTTCTATCCCCATTGTATAGTCATGGCTCCTTTATTATAAATCAATTGACCGTATATGCATGGGTTTATTTCTGGGCTCTTTTATTCTGTATCATTCTCTATTCTGTTTATATGCCAATACCATACTGTTTTGATTACTACAGCTTTGAAATGTAGTTTGAAGCCAGGGAGTGTGATGCCCATCCTCTTTTGGGTTGGTAGGTTTATATATTTCTAAGTCATTCAGATTGTATTTATAATGCTTATCTTAAGCCAAGGTGGCAAACCTATCAAGCTCAATTTGTAATAGCAAAACTATTATACTTTGCTTAAGTCAACTAGAAATTGTGTTGGAAATAGCTAAACACTATTTTGTACCATTTTTGTTTTCGTGGTTCCTTGTGGTCAGTTTTTAATAGTTGAAGATTGTTCATTTGTCATTTGTCTATGATGTGAGGCCATTGACAATCCTTGTGTTTAATTTACACTCTTATTGTTAACATAAGAACACAGTTTACAACTTCCGTTTTACTGATTTAAAACAATTTTATGGAGATCCATTTTGTTGGCATAACTAAGCTTTTGGTCAGGACTTGGGTTTGGATTCTTTCCATATACATCTTAGTAATATACTTTGTGTTTCATATGACGTGTTCTAGGGAAGCTTCTTTAATCCAGATTTATTGTGTGTTCTGATGCTTGCTTTTAGAGGAATTAATTTTTTTATAGGGAGTCTATATCCCATACAGGATGATTGTATTTTTAGGAGCTTTTCTTATTGATTACAATTGGTTGACAACTGGGCTGTGTTTTATATTTTAAAAGTCTGGTCATCTTGATATAATAGTTAATAAGCTTTATGATTTTTCTGCTGACTTCACTATTTAAAAGCCATTGTCTCTGTTCTTAGGTTACTTGCTTCTTGAGGAATTCTTAGATACAATTTTTTAAATAGGCTATTCCTTTTTGAACCCTGTTACCCTCTACCCAGCCTATATACATACATACATACATACATACATACATACATACATATATATATATATATATATATATATATATTTAGTGTTATATATATATTTATGTACACACATACATATTATATAATGTTTATAATTTACACACATACATATATAATGTTTATAATTTTATTTATTTATATTTGTGTATAAATATACAGACTTATTATTGCCTTGATATGACTTATTTGAAAGGTAGAGAATGTGATATGTGTATGACTAGCTTCGTACATCTTTTAATTGTTTGAGGTACAAGATTTAATAGTGGGTATTTTGCTTTCTAAGACACACAAATGATGATGTCAGTATTCTTTTGTAAGTAATGTATTTTCTCCTTGTTATAGGTCCTTTTATTCTGCATCACAGCTGCCATGTACATGTTCTTTTTCAGGTATGTTCTGTTATACCTATTTATTTTAATAGAAAAAAATACTCTTCCTTTGTAATTTTTAAATCAGTCGTGTAACTAAAGTGTTTTCTAAATTATTATGCCCCACAAGTGACATGAATTTTTGTTTGCTTTGTTTTATTTTCTAGAGTGGTTAGAGATAAGTCACTGCTCCTTAGTGAATAGAGAAAGAGAGGGAAGGAAGATGTGATTTTTCACATTATGCTTATAAGTTCATCTTGGAAAACTGAATATGTAAATTAATAGTCCTCAGATCTTGAAAGGTGAATTTCTATTTATTGTGGACCTGATTTTAGATATTCTTCGCTCACCTTATAAAACAATCAACATTTTAAATTTATTTTATTTTAACATTTTAAATTTAAATGAGAAAAAAGTGATGGTAGGGCTTAATCTAAGTCTTTTATGAACGTAACCTAGCATACTAATCACTGTCTGTAAAATATCAAGTTAGTCCATTATGTCAGAGTTGCATTTTTTGTTGATACTGAGACTCTGAGGAATGTGGGGGAGTGTTAGGATGGCTCAGAATTTTAATGCCAGTAAAAATGGTGCCTGTCATTATCATAGAAACACAACAGTATGGGAGTTGGATTTTTGATTAGGAAGAGCCCACTCCTTCATTATCGTCATTTTCTTTAATACCAGTAATTCCTATTTGTTTCACTCTTATTACACTCATTTGAGTAGACTCTTTCTTGATTTTTCTGGATATAGGCAGAATTCAATCACAGCAGGAAGTTCTAGGCTTTTAAAATTAAAATTTGCACTTGAGGGCTTCCCTGGTGGCGCAGTGGTTGAGTCCGCCTGCCGATGCAGGGGACGCGGGTTCATGCCCCGGTCCGGGAAGATCCCACATGCCGCGGAGTGGCTGGGCCTGTGAGTCAGGGCCGCTGAGCCTGTGCGTCCGGAGCCTGTGCCTCCGCAACGGGAGAAGCCACAACAGTGAGGGGCCCGCGTACTGGGAAAAAAAAAAAAAAAATTGCACTTGATTGACAAAAACAGTTATGGATTTTAGTAAGATATATTTAGTAGATATCTTTATCTTTTTTTGTTTAACCTAAATAAGGCAATTCAACCATAGCAGAATGTTTAAACAACTAATTTCCTGTCAGAACATTCTAATAAATACTTGATAAGCACAATGATATAATTTGAACTTCCTTTAACTATAAAAAATGTTATATGCAAGTATAAAATGATGATGGTGCTGTAATTTTTCTTGTAAAGGACAGACAAGCTGTTAGAAGGAAAAAAATGGATGAAGTTTTTAAGGTGGGAAGGACGTATTCATGATGGAGTGCATAGTATTCTATGTCAGTTATTAGCGACTGAAAAATCGTTGCAGCTATCTGGGGGTCTTTGTGAAATTGTATGACCTACCATTTTTAATATACTTTCATATACACCTTACAACTCCTGTAGTCTCTTTCGTATATTCTAGCAATTTAGGGGTTTGGTAGGGGAGTTAAGAACAATGACTCTTTCATTTCATCAATGGCCAAAGATTTCTTAATTGTATTCAGACACATTATTAGGACGGTAATGCAAAAAGTTCAAGGATTTATCTTTATGCTGTCTAATCTGAAGCTAAAGCATACCTAGTGGGAGAAATGTAAAGAAAAAAGATAAAAACTTAGAAACATATCTTTTGTTGGCATGCACAGGAGGAAAGTACAGTATGAAATAAAATTTTTTTTGTGTGTGAAAATTCCTAACAGACCAGGTAGTTAAGTGAAACAGTCCTTCCCATATAGCTCTTATAGCATATTTGATCAACATTTAGCATTTCTTAGACATCAGAAGTTTTTGAGGTTTAAAAAACAAGTTGTCTTGAATATAGTGATAATGCCCAATGTTAGGCATGGTCCTAGGATATTATACTTTGAAAACTGCTGCCATCAAACTAGTATTTTTGGTGTAGAAAGAAAATCAACCCTATAAATATGTATTTTGGTGCAGAGCTACGGAACCTTTTCCTGTTTCAGTCACAGAGTCTAGGTTAAAAACAACAATTTAAAATACTTTCCAGAAGGCTCAATACAAGGTTTTAGTGCCAAGATAAACATTTTCAATTTTCTGAGGAAAGGGGTTGTTTTTCTCCAAAAAGAAGCACTATCACCAAATTCCTAGTGTTCCTGGCAGAAGTTAGTTTGAATAACTCAACAAAAGAGGTTTGGTAAATGGTAAAATAAAACCATTTATAAAGTACTGCAACCGAAGAAAACAATGTTATATGTTTGTCTGATATCTAGCAAGTGTTTAGAATGAACAATAGCAGTTAGCAAGTCTAATTCCATTAGAATATTTTATTTTTAAAATTCAAACTTTATTTTAAATATATTATAGATATTTGAGGACACATTTATTCCATTTATTAACAATTATTTTAATTCTAGTTGCATAAAATTAGATCAGTAAATATCAAATGATATTGTCCCTATGACTCCATTTATAGTAACCTTTTTTAAGAAGAGAATAAGGGAAACATTTTATGTTAGAAATGTCAACTTGTGTTTTTGTTTTTGTTTTTGTTTTTTTTGCGGTACGCGGGCCTCTCACTGTTGTGGCTTCTCCCGTTGCGGAGCACAGGCTCCGGACGCGCAGGCTCAGCGGCCATGGCTCACGGGCCCAGCTGCTCCGCGGCATGTGGGATCTTCCCGGACCGGGCCACGAACCCGTGTGCCCTGCATCGGCAGGCGGACTCTCAACCACTGCGCCACCAGGGAAACCCCAACTTGTGTTTTTATCCTAACCCATAAATGGGAAAAAGGGAAATGAGAACCCCCTTTCAATAGAGAGAAAAATGTGCCAATTTAATTTTTTTTAAAGAAAGAACTTGAGGCAGTAGTTTCATAAGTATTTTCTAAAAGTGACATAGGATGTGATGGTTATAGTATGAATTTACTGAAAAAGCAACACAACGTTCAGAGTATTGAAACCATGGTTATTAAAATGTGTAATGAAAATGTCTTACTTTTGCATAGCTCTTAATAGCTCTTAATAGTTATTTTATAGGTATAGTTCTTTTCACATACATTGTCTCATACATGGTGATCTTGATTTTTAATCTGTATGCCAAAAATCTGGCTAATATTCAAATGGAATCCTGGGAACACTTCAGAGGCTTCGGTGGAGGAAAGGTAATATGTGAAGAGAAAGTTTTCTTCAGTTTTTTGTTCCAGTTCTTAGCCATCTGGCCATCCAGCCATCCAGCTGTCTATTGATATAAATTGGGGTACAATATTTTGAAGAGTGTTTTGAAAGAAAAAGGCTCTCCATTCAACCCCATTGGGCACTCTTCATAATAGTTCTGCCTCCTTTGTTTAAGCATTTTATTTTGTATGTTATTGTCACAGCTTCGCTTTAGGGCATGTCTGTCACTATCAGTTCAGGCCAAGCAGGAGTCATAGTTGAAAAGCTGATAGAATATTTTGTCTAATGCATCTCTTTAAAACATTTCTTTACTTCCAAGTGTGTATTTATGGGTAAAGCAACCTAATTTTTTTTCTTTTTTAAGTAAAAGCATTCATCATAATTATTGATTCAGGCTTGCTTAGGATCTTCCCAACAGTCATGTGGAGAAAAGAAATGAGTTTGTTTTGAACCACCAGCTCTTTTTTGTTTTAATTGAGAAGCAAAGGAAAGAACAATAACACAGACACTACAACAAAACTGTTATACTTAATCCTGCTCACAAAAAAACAATGAAACATGCAACCCTTTTAAACATTATTTTACTGGTTTTGTTTTCAGCATTAGTGATCTGTGTATGAAGAACACTAATATTTTAGAAAAATGAAATAATTGAGCTTCATTTTTCTTTAATTTAAAATAGTATCATAAAGTGTATTACGACAACTTTGATCCCATCTTAGTGAGTGCCTAGTTATAAATTCTTTCCACTTGCCTGTGCAAAGGCAGCAAACAGTTTGTTTAAACATGTAGATTGAAAGGCTCAGACTTGTCATAGTAGATAATCTACAGACTATATATGACTGATTCACAATAGACCTACCTTAATCTGCCATAAACATTGGAAAGCATTGGATTTTTAGTTAGAAACCAGTGCAAATTAAAGTTTATTGTAGTTGTGCTTTATACATATATATTTTTAAATACATGTTTAGGAACAGTATTGATGACTGCTATTCCATGAATTTGTGCTATTCTGTGAAGGCAAAAATAGTAAACTATTTCATTAGTCTCAGCATATGGATGTAGTGTTGTTGTTGTTTTTTAATTTACGAAAACGACACTATTTATCGGCTGGACAACCTATAGTTCTCGAGTGAAAGACGTTTATGATTGTCCTTGAATCTGTTTACATGAACTGTATCTTTGAAATAACAAAAAGTAAAGAACTTTTTTTTTTTTTAAATTTGCGGTACGCGGGCCTCTCACTGCTGTGGCCTCTCCCGTTGCGGAGCACAGGCTCTGGACGCGCCGGCGCAGCGGCCGCGGCTCACGGGCCCAGCCGCTCCGCGGCATGTGGGATCTCCCCAGACCGGGCCACGAACCCGTGTCCCCTGCATTGGTAGGCGGACTCTCAACCACTGCGCCACCAGGGAAGCCCAGTAGAGGCTATTCTTGATTGTCACACTAGCAGTTTGATGTTGGACAAATTATACAACTTCTCTATACCTCAGCTTCTTCATTATTAAAAAGTGTAAATTGCTATATAGACCTCATAGGTAGGATTGTGAGAATTACATAAGAAGCAACATCTTTCCAACTTTTTTGGATGTCACCCAAAATAAGAACTACCTTTATTTTTTGTGACCACGCCGTGCAGCGTGCAGGATCTTAGTTCCCTGACCAGGGATCGAACCTGCATTGGAAGCATGGAGTCTTAAACCACTGGACCGCCAGGGAAGTCCCAGAACTACCTTTTATATTGTGACTGTTCATGCAGACCCATAAATTTCCCAGAATAGTATGTAACCTTCCTACGTGTAATACATTTGGATATTTTCTATTCT